TGAGAACAAGCTCACTGAAGTCTGCAGGCATAACAGCTGCCCTTCATTCAGGAAACATGTAAAAAACAAGTAAGTCCCTTTATGGAATATAGAGCCAAACCAACAGAAGTCGCTGTCCAAAACATGGTGTGCCATGTGCCAGGCTGACACAGGAGTTGAGTCCTAGGTTGGAACGCCCTCCCACACCCTAACTCCCTCCCACATCTCACTGAGCCCCAGCCTGCATCCAAACTCCCTCCCAGAGCCTGCACCCTGAACTTTCTCCTGCACCCCATGCCCCAGCCTGAACCCCTTCCAGCACCCTAAACCCCACATCCCTGGCCTCACCCCAGAGTCTGTTCCCCACAACTAGAGCCCTCACCACCTCCCTCACCCCAGCTTCTTGCTATACTCTGAACTGCTCATTTCTGGCCCCTCCCCAGAGCCTTTTGAGCTTTCAAAAAGCTCTTCTTCAGGTCTGGGAAAAATATCCTGGGACCAACACAGTTAAACAACACTGAAAGCACACTAGGTCATGTGTGGATCCAGCTGTAGTCTCTCATGTTTTAACAGCTAAAGGCAGGATCACAGGAAGAAGCATATAGTCCATGCCACCCTGTAGCCAAGACAATGTCTAGCTAGGCTTGAAAGGCTCGGTGTATACTTATTTGCACAGCAACTGCTTGCTTTATTAAAAGGCAAATTTCAGGTCAGCTAAGCTACAAGATAAGTTTAATTTCCACATGTAATATACCTTCCACGTCTCATAGACTGGGACATTTTCTCCTAGTTTGCTCTGTATTTATTATGCTGCTCTCGTCTGTCACTTCTTTAACTAGCATGAAATAATAAACTGAAACAGACAGTCTCAGCTGTTTACAAGAAAGGACAGGACTGGAGTGGTTTTTCTACAGGAAATGAGCCGAGATTTCTGGGGATTGAGATTGTGGTGACAGGGAGAGGGCAATTAAGTACATTGCAAGTTTGGGGGGCAGGTTCGTTTTACAAGCCAGGGACCCGCGGGCCTTTCTCCTGCCCTTCTTCTCCATGGATACAATTCTTCAGAAGAATCTTTGCAACTAATAGGAGAAATTTTGGCCCCTTTAAAATTAATAGAAGCTTTGCCATTAACGTCAATGGAGCTAGGATATCACTCAATGAATTTAAAGTAAATTGGCTCATAATGACAACTATATAATTTATTAAATTTTATCCTCCTTTGAAAATGATCATTGTTCATCTTGTAGAGGTGTTGGGGGAAAATATGATGGAGAAACCATATAAAACACTATAGTGGTTTAGGGTATTTTTCTGATGAGGCAGCCTCTGCATAAAAAAATTCTCAAGAGAATGTTAGAATTTATGTACAGCTAATCACTGAATAGCATGGAGGATGAAAAGGCCCCTTTACTTAGTCTGTAAATCAGTTTATCAATTTATAATGTACTCTAGGATTTAAAAGAGATTAAAGGCATCCTGAGAAGTGGTAAATTATTTAATTTTATATATTTACCTCATTTTGCATATGGCCAATTAATAATCCCCCCATGAGTTACTGCAAAATAATAACCAATGTTTAACAACAACCCAGTAAACAACTCATATCTCCAGAGCTGTGTGGGAAGTTACTTCTTTTCCTCTCTCCCACTTTCAGTGTTTATGTTGCAGTAGACTTTTATTCCAAAGTTTTGTTAAATTTCCCCTTCCTTTCCTTCTGTGGATTATGCCATAACTCATTCTGATAGATGTGCTACTGATATATTAACTAATGGAAGGGGTTGCGCTGGAGGGAAATACTGAGGATAAGACTCAATTTGCTAAAGGGGCAAAACACATGCAATGTCAAAATGCTTTTAATATTCTGACACCATGTAAAAACATACCGGCTGGCTACGTCTACACTGGCCCCTTTTCCGGGAGGGGCATGTAAATTTCACCAGTCGTCGTAGGGAAATCCGCGGGGGATTTAAATATCCCCCGCGGCATTTAAATAAAAATGTCCGCCGCTTTTTTCCGGCTTTTAAAAAAGCCGGAAAAGAGCGTCTAGACTGGCCCCGATCCTCCGGAAAAAGTGCCCTTTTCCGGAGGGTCTTATTCCTACTTCAAAGTAGGAATAAGAGCCTCCGGAAAAGGG